GGCACTAACCTGGAGAGCGGGGCAGTGGTCGTGTCGACGTTGGCGGATGGCTGCACTGATTCTCCCTGAACGTGAACGATGACACAATGTCGCGGGTACTCATGTGCGCGAATCGCATTTCTGCTCCGCAGCTGAACGTCATCCCCGCGCCTCCGCTCTGGCCAAGGGGGGAAAACGATCGCGGCCGACTGCAGTCATTGGATCGTCCCGACCGTCCGTATTCCCGGATCGGACGGCTAGCAGGCGCGCGAGGGCCCACCCGGAAAACCACTTATATGAGGCAGGCCCACCACTCCCCATCGGATCATCCCGACTGTCAGTATCCCCGGATCGGACGGCCAGCAGGTGCCCGCGAAGGGCCCTCTCGAAAAACTATATATATGAGGGAGGGCCACCAGTTCCCATTTTCGTTTCAGTTTGGCAACGCAGTATTAGAGCAGCGCAGCGGAGGTTCGTCGACGTAGTGGCACAGAGGCTCGTGCCACAGCGCAGCGTAGTGGAGGCTCGTGTACAGCGTGGCAACGGAGCGCAGGGATTCGATCCGTGCATAGTCGACCACCTGCTCGACGCGACGACGGACCACAGTGTTGTCGAGAGGCGTGTTTAGCGCGACGACAACCACAGTGGAGCACCCCGAGTTTGAAGGATCGGACGGTGAGAACACAACCACGCAGCCCAGATTCAACCACGTAACGCCACGTGGCACTTCCGGTCGTCGAGTCGAACACGATGGTGCCCCATCGTCGAGTCGAACACGATCGCGCTCGATCGTCGAGTCCAACACGATCGTGTCCGATCGTCGTGTCGAACAAGATCGTGCACGATCGTCGAGTCGAACACGACAATGCCCGACAATCGAGTCCAACACGATTGTGTCCGATCGTTGTATCGAACACAACAGTGCCCGATCGTCGAGTCGAACACGACAGTGCCCGATCGTCGAGTCGAACACGACATAGCCCGCCCGATCGTCGAGTCCAACACGATCGTGCCCGATCGTCGAGTCGAATACGATCGCGCCCGATCGTCGAGTCGAACACGATCGCACCGGATGTGTGATTGTCGAGTCGAACACGATCGCGCCGGATGTCTGATTGTCGAGTCGAACACGACAGTTGAGTCGAACACACTCATTGAGTCGAACACGACACTGCCCGATCATCTAGTCGAACACGACACTGCCCCATCGTCAAGTCCAACACGACAGTCGAGTCGAACACGATCGTTGAGTCGAACACGATCGTCTAGTCGAACACGACACTGCCCCATCGTCGAGTCGAACACGACAATCGAGTCGAACACGATCGTCGAGTCGAACACGATAGTCGAGTCGTGGGCAGTGTCGTCGAGTCGAACACGATAGTCGAGTCGAACACGACACTGCCGATCGTCGAGTCGAACACGATAGTCGAGTCGAACATGACACTGGCTGATCGTCGAGTCGAACACGATAGTTAAGTCGAACACGGCACTTCCCGATCGTCGAGTCGAACACGACAGCGACCGATCGTCGAGTCGAACACGACAGTGACCGATCGTCGAGTCGAACACTATCGAGGAGTCGACCATGATAGTCAAATCGAACAACGATCGTCGAGTCGAACACGATCGTCGAGTCAAACACGATCGTCGAGTCGAAACCGATCGTCGATTGTGTTTGTCGAGTTGAACACGATAGGCGAGTCGAACACGTCGAGTCAGACAGGATCGTCAAGTCGGACACGGTCGTCGAGTCGAACGCGATCGTCGAGTCGAACACGTTCGTTTGCGCACAAAGATTTTGTGCATTGTGCTGGACAGGATCGTCGAGTCGGACACGGTCGTCGAGTCGAAAACGATCGTCGAGTCGAACACGTTCGTCTGCGCACAAAGATTCTGTGCATTGTGCTGTCGTGCGGCCTGGTTTGTTTCCATTGTTGGGGGGAGCGGGGTGAATAGTTCTATGATGCTGTTGGTTGTTCTATTGCTGCTGTTGACCGTTGCCCTTGTGCCGTGCAGGGCGTCTTCTCTTCACTGTTGCTATGGAGATCTTTAATATGACCCCAACATTTTGGCGTGCAGGCAAGGCACACCCTTTCCCACCCTGCGCGCTGTACGTCCGACAATATCAGGGTAGCGTAACCTATGAAGGCGCTTGTCCAGAAGACTTCGAATGCGACCCTTGGATGAGAATCCTCCCGTTTGGCGACAAACATTTGGACTCGTGGGAGGAGTGCGAGTGGGTGAACATGACGGAGAGATGACCGTGGGCATGCGATTATGAGTTCGCGAATATGTCCGAATTCGGCAAACGCATTCCCGTGCCGTTTGATGTGCTGCGTCCCGTGCGCTTGACGCTACTTTGTAAAAAACTAAAAATAAGCCGTGTTTTGGGGGTTTTGGACTGCGAATACGTGACAACCACGCCTCGCACCTGGTGCCGTGTTATGAAACAGGAGTTACTCGATTGTGCGCGACATTCTCAGTTCCTCGATCATTATCCGTTGCGATCTCCCGGTCTGTCGCCAGGAGCAGTTTCGTATTGTTGTGTGAGATTGCGTCTGGCATACTTTATCTTCTGTAGGGTCCTCTGTATTGCCGTTTCAAGCAGGGCAAGAAACTTGACCGATGCTGTCGTGTATGTGTCCAGGAACAAGTTGTCTATGTCCGGGAGGGATATGTGTTTAGTTCAAAGAAGGGTAGATGGGAGACTGGATATCGTGGTGGGTGGCCAGGTGGAGGACGTTGTCGCATGGCGCGAGGTCGAGGCGAAAGTCGTTCAATTCGGGATGCTATAGGCGCTTCTCTCGTCGAGAACTCTGGGTTCGTGCGAATGACATACATTTCAGTGTTTGCTGAGACGGCGCAGCAACTGACCTTCGGATGGCCAATTAGCGTGTTGAATGGCCGCAACGGCGCGATTGCTCTCTGTAGTCGGTAGATAGCCTTCGTCATACAGAATGGCCGAAACGACATACTGAATGGCCGAAATGGCCGCAACGGCGAGATTGTTCCCTGTAGTCGATAGATAGCCTCGTGGAATTCGCATTTGACGTTGTTGTCCTCATATTGTTTTCCGATTCGTTGAAAACCGGGTATGATGACACGTGTTTTTGGTTTGGCTTTGGACACCGACACATCGCTGCCGGCCGAGTGTTTGATTGTTGTTCTCATGTTGTGTTTCCTTTGATGTTTTGTGTGCACAAACATTCAGCTGTTAATGTTTCTCCGTGTTAACCAGTGCCTCCGATCTGTTGTCTTATGTTCTCGTGATCAAGTGCCCCTTTAGGCACCGTCCGCCGACCATTGTGTCGAACACGACAAATGTCGCACAGCACACCCAGTGTCGCTGTCGTGTTCGACACGATGGTCGCCAGACGGTGCCCGGACTGTCGAACGGCGGACTACAGTGTCGCTGTCGTGTCGAATACGACAGTCTGCTCCCCTACAGGCACGATTTGGTGACCATCGTGTCGAACACGACATGGACACTGTTATCTGGCGACCAGACGGTGCATGAAGGGCCGCTTGGTCGACTGTCGCACGACAGACAACAGTGTAGCTGTCGTGTCCAACACGACAGTGGTCAGCCCGCGCACTGCCGTCGGGTTCGACACGACAGTGACACGACAAGACCGCAATGTCGCTCTCGTATCGAATTCGACGGTACAGGAGGAAGTCGTGGCACGGTCGTCGAGTTCGACACGACGGTGAAATGACGACGAGCTGGCGGGCTGCGGCCCGCTTCAGTTGCTCTCTGTCCAAACATTTAGCAGTCAATGTTTCTCCGTGTTAACCAGTGCCTGCGATCTGTTGTCTTGTGTTCTCGTCATCAAGTGCCCCTTTAGGCACCGTCCGCCGACCATTGTGTCGAACACGACAAATGTCGCAGAGCACACCCCAGTGTCGCTGTCGTGTTCGACGCGATGGTCGCCAGACGGTGCCCGAAGGGGCGCTTGGTCGACTGTCAAACGGCGGACGACAGTGTCACTGTCGTGTCAAACACGACGGTCAGCTCCCCTACAGGCACCGTTTGGCGACCGTCGTGTCGAACACGACATGGACACTGTTATCTAACGACCAGATAGTGCATGAAGGCCGCTTGGTCGACTGTCGCACAGCACACAACAGTGTAGCTGTCGTGTCCAACACGACGGTTGGTCAGCCCGCGTAGTGCCGTCGGGTTCGACATGACAGTGCCACGACGAGACCTCAATGTCGCTCTCGTGTCGAATTCGACGGTACTGGAGAACGTCGTGGCGCGACCGTCGAGTTTGACACGATAGTGGAACGATGACGAGCTGGTGGGCTGCGGTCCGCTTCAGTTGCTCTGTGTTCCTGTCTACTCTTGTTCTCAAGTGCTATGGTGTTTGCACGTTGGCAAAGCAATGACTGCTTTCTCGCTTGTGCGTTTCCTTCAATTGCGACTAGCTGCTCGGCATGGATCGCGAGGGGAAGCCAAGCAAACGACGTACTAGTGCTGGTTCCGGGAGCATGGAGCAGTCTCCGAAAAAACTGAAGGGGACACTGACGGCTGGCGTGGGGGCTGGCGACACACCGGGGTCTAAGGGTGTGCGGGGTGCGCATTCTACGGACACTCCTTCCGCCCATGTTCGAGGTTCGGGACTGGATTCGGCTGTGTTGATGAGTGGTGGGGCTGCGGGTCGAGAAGAGGAGGCTATTGGTCGGCAGGGAAAATCTACGATGGACGGTGTGCCCAGGCGTAAAAGGTCTGGTGGGAGACGAGGTGCCTGTCGTCGACCACCAAGACAAGTGCTGGATGTTGGACTGGGTGGGTGAAATCGGGGAACGCTCGGCTGGGCTGGTTTTGTACGTGGTGATAAAAGATAACATGTTCCGATTGGCGGTGTGGTTAAGTGGAGTGGAGAAAAATCGCCGTCGGCCATGTTGGAGTTGACGATGGTCCTTAACGCTAGAGGTGAGCGGGTGGCGGGTGTCAAACGCGTTGATCTTCATTGGGCCAAACACGCTGGGTACGGCAAGAGGCTTTATGACATTTTCAATCCGCCCGGGACGGAGAAATTGACGTTGTCGGACCTTCAATCGGTCTTCCCATTCTTCGACAGACATGTGGTCGCAGGGCATGAGTCGGTGGTGCATTCTTCCGACCGCATATCTGAACCGAAAAGCGTGCTTTCATCGTCTTTGGAGGCGGCTCTGTCGTCGAAACCGATCATAATAGGTGCCCGCCCTCCGCCATCACTTCGGACTACGGTTGCTGCAACACGAGTTCCGAGATCTGAGCAGATCGGGGAGAAAGGTCCGTGTCGCGACCAAATCGTGCCGTCAGCCCCTGTGAAGCGTAGACCAACATCAACCAGGGAACCCGTTTCCTTGGTCCGCCCGCCGCGCTATGAGTTGGCCATTCCTGTTGGGCCACAATATTTTGTAGATGACGACGAGGAGAACAACGCAGAAGAATGGGAGCGCGATGAAGAACGCGAAGAATATGAGGAGGGTGGCGAAGAAGAGGAAGTAGAGAGTGAGCACACAATCAGCGAGAGGGGTGGGCCGGGCGAGTTGGAGGGTCGCCTAGGGGTTGAGTATGAGGACGAAGGGCAAGAAGAGGAAACGACCGGAGAGGGAGGGTATGCAGATGTGCATCGGGGTTCCAAACGAATGCAGTTGCTCGCGTCGGGTCATGGGCATTGGGAAGCGGATCCAAGGCGCGGAGAAATACACCGCGAAGTTGGGGTCGAGCCGGCGCATGCCGATGCTGTCCGACTAACTGAGAAGAAAAGGAAGATGAGGCAAGAGAGAAGTGCTATGGACAGTAAGAAAACCAAGCAGAAGGGGGGAACCAAGCAAGAGGAGGGCAAACGCAAGTTGAAAATGCTGGCAGTTGAGGAGGCCGTCCAACGTACGCGAGAGGCTGAGGAGGCCATGAAGAAATAATGGCAGCCAAGGAAAAAAGCAGCGAAGAGAGGGTGATGGAAAACCAGCCACAGTCGGATCAAGACGCTGTGGGCAAGACAGTCACCAGACCGCCCGGTTTGCAGATTCTGCCGCCTGGGAATTCTTCTGGTCATCTGAGCAAAGGCTTCTTCCTTGAGTTCGACGAGAATGGTTGACAGAGGCCGGAAATGTAGTTCATTTCTGTCAAGTTGGACAGGATTCTGGATATCCCTGATGAGGAATTCAGATATAATCAACGCTTCCTCGATCAGGAGCTTATTGATGACCTTTACAAAACAATGGTTGAGTCGGGTGAGGCAGCTATCAGAGAGAGAACGACCGGGGCAGCCGTGGTGAATGTATGTGCATTGTACGAGAAGCCTGTCCTTTTGTTGATTGGGCTACATGATACAATGCATACTGACGCTTCCGGTACTAATGTGAGGGCGAGAAGAGTGACGCCCGACGAATTCGATCTCCAATCCGTGCGCAAGTACTACTGGTACCCTCTTAATGGTCAACACAATGTTGCGGCGGCGAGGAAATGTTCTCAAGAACGTCCTGACATCGCCCGTGAGCTCCGTTTGGATTGTTGGACTGCAAGGCCTGTTTACTATCCGGATAGGAGCATGGAAAATTACGGCACCTTGAGCACTTTCCAAAATGCGAAGGACAAATGGAATACTCCTCCGCACCAGATTGCTATCATTAAGAACATGCGAAAGTTGTGGCAAGCAGCCGGGTGTCTAGAAGCTATAGGCGGATCTGCTGCAGACGTCAAAAATAAGGATTACAGAGAGTTTGCGGCGATGGCCCTAGCGCCATGATATTGGCAAGGGCGATGGACGATGTGTTCGAGAAGGTGCAACAATTGTATTATACTTGGGAGAGTGGACAGTTGTCGGGGAGAGATGGTGTGAAGCCTGCCACCAAACATGATGAATCGGGGAAAGCGCCGAGACCTGGCCCTGGATTCGAGTTGGAAAAAGGAGTCAGGGTTCCAGTGAACTGGATTCAAGGTATTAGAGGACCTGGTTACCTCGTGGCTGTGCGCGATCCGGATGTCAGATCATGGAGGGCTATGTCTACGCTGGGGAGGCATGAGAGGCTTTAGCTGTTGCGAGACATTCTCGCGGGGAGTGTCGTACTGCCTCCAAGGCTTAGTAAAGTTGCTCACACTGCCGGAAAACATTCGATGGAGACATACGTGGAAATGGTGAAGCAGGAAAGAGCAATGTTGAGAATGTTTCACTACTTCGTCTTCATTTCTTACCCTCATAAGAAGCTGTCAGAATGGAAGGAACCATTCTTCTACAACCTTTCTGATTCGTTCGCTAAGTATTGTGATCAAGGATTGACATCGGAGAGGTGGACCGACCAGCGACGGCATTTCAAAGAAACGAGTTGGGTGCGGTCATTTCCGGCTACACTTGGAGGCGAGGATGAGAAAGGAGAGGAGGGCTTCAAGAAAACAAAATCGCTTGCAAACGAATGCCCCGAAGAGTTCATTCAATTTGTCAACAACTTGTTGCGTAGATATGAAACTGGGGGTTCGCATAGCATTCTTATGTCGGGACAAGCGAGATATATATATTTCCAGAAACAGGAAGTGACATCTGTATTCGTGCCGTTCCGGTGGGAACCGAGCGATGTTTCAGACGAGATGGATTGCAAGGAGATGTTTAGAGCCGTCAGACACCTGACGTGCCACATAGTCGTCCTGGATTTGTGCCGCCCGACCCAGATGGGTGCGTGGACTGAACAAGTGTTTGATGGACTCAAGAAGTTCATGGACAAACTTGGCGGCGATTATTGGACATATTTGCGCCTCGTTCCACGCCCTTGCGAGTTCACACTCTTGAGGCGAGTTGCGATGTGGGACATTCACTTGGATCTTCTCAAATGGACTCGTCTATAACAAACAAAGGGGAAAGTGGCATATAAGGTTGCAAACTTGCCTTTGGAGGACATAGACAGAATGGTGGTCATCATATACTCCAACGACGGGGATTTTCATCGCAACACTATTCCCTTATTTGAAGATATTCAAGCTGCAGGTCCATCATCTGCCGAGCGGGTGGATGACATATCGGCACTTGTGCGGAGGGAGAGAAAGCCGAAGATGTTGACTGATGTTTTGGAGAAGAACTTTCTACCATCAAAGTGGAAAATGGCAGGTATGGATCCAACGAAGAAAGTGGTCTATGATGGTATGGAAAGGGAGCCGAATGCGATGGTGGAGACATTGAAGCATTTTTGTCTTGCGGATGAGGCTGTCGTTTACCTCGGGAAAGGTCATGCGGGATTGGTTTGGGAGCTGTTAAAGAGTCACCGTCATTGCATTGTGCTGGAAGGGGAGGGTATGAAGTTCGAGTTCCTCACTCAGTTCATTGACAAGATGGTCAAAACTCGAGATTACTATGCCAGCTTTACTTAGCCGCCTACTCGATATGATGAAGGGCGTGATCTCGTCTACAAGGTTGGCCAAAACGTGGTCGATATTTGAGAGTTTCTCTTCGAAACAAAGCCGCAAGACAGAGGGGAACGTACTTATGTCCTTAGAAGAAGAAAAGTGGAGAAGCTCTTGAGGGTTATCATAAAGCACCATCAGAGAGGGAGGTTTCATTTCTCGACCGCTTGGACACAATGCACTTCGACCAACAAATCGGGGCGTTTACAATCGCAGATTATGTGACTTGTTTTGTGGATGGTGAGGACTTTGATGCCGACGACTCAGAAAAAGAGAGTGTTCATGGCACTTTGAAAGCGGCTTTGGCAGCTGAGAGGCAAAGAGCTTGTAGCCTGGGTTCGCAGAGAATGGGTGTTCCAGGCACATCGTCCGGTTCTGGAGGAGCTTCGAGCATGGTGGTTTCAACGGATCAGTTACTGACTCAACCGCCGACTTCTTCTATTGTTATACCGACTCAGATGGCGGGCAATACGATGACGGTGGCATCAGGAGGCAGTCTGGATCCGACTGTTCTAGCAATGCTCTCCCCCCTCTGGCACCATTTGCACACAGCCCAAGTACTATTATGGAATTGCTACGCTCTCGAACTCCACAACAACCTCCACCTGATGAGCCTTTGGAGTACGAGATTGGAGACACAATCCCTACAGACATTCGACTGCTTCCAGGGCCTATAGTGTGCCGAGACGATTATACGGTGGCAGATGATGCCACATGGGGTCATGACATCATATGGCAACCCCAACACTTCCAACCTGCATTGGCGAGAGGGAGGTGGGTTATAGCTATAAAAGAAGAGGGGGAGTGACAGTTTTGCCTCCACAGACGTATGTAAGGATCGAACTTTCTGAAACATGCCAAAAATCAGATTGCCAAGCGACTCCTGCGACTTAATCTGGAGGTTTCTCAATCAAGACTGGATGTAAGAACAGAAGAAATTTTCCAAGAGTTCAAAACATCGCAGTGGCTTGAGTATCTGGAAGAGTTCTATGATAGACAAACCAGCCCGGCTTACGGATATTATTGGCATGTCAGAGAAGATCTTGGGGAGAGGAAAAAATCAAGCGGCGGTGGTGACCATGGCAAGGGATCCGGATCGAGCGGAGGTGCGCATGGTAAAGGATTGCGATCGGGGAGCGATGCAAGTGACAAGGGTACGAAACTGAATGACGGTGTAATCGGCAAGGACGCAAGTCGTGGGGAACGGCAACAAACCGAAAAGTCTAAGGGGCGTCAAGCAACAGAAGGCAATGGATCAGCACCAAGCGGCGGTGGGCATGGCAAACCTACAGGACCAAGCGGCGGTGGTTCAACTTTCGAAGGGTCTAAGGGGCCTCAAGAAACAGAGCGCAAGGGATCAGGATCGAGTGGTGGTTCAACTGTCGAAGGGTCCCACGGTCGCGTCGAACCTGACAGTGGCCTCGCATTGGAGCGTTCCCGGCTTGACCAAGCGAAGAGTCACACGGTCGAGTCGAACCCAACAGTGGGATCAGAAACGATCGCCGGTGCGACTGGCAAGGCTTCGGGACCACGGGGGGGCAGTACAACTATCGGCGGTGCTTCACCTGTCAAAGAGTCACACGGTCGTTTCGAACACGACACTCGTCCAACATTCGAGCGCTCGCGGCTTGACCAAGCGAAGAAAGTCAATGTCGAGTCGAACCCGACAGTGGGATCGGGATCAATCGCCGGTACAAGTGGCAAGGCTTCGGGACCAATCGACGTTGTTTTACCTGTCGAAGGGTCACACGGTCGAGTCGAACACGACAAGGATCCACTATTGGAGCGCTCCCAGCTTGACCGAGCGGAGAAACTCGTGGTTGAGTCCAACCTGACACAACAACGGGGATCGATTGCCGGTGCGAGTGCCAAAACTTCGGGACGAATAGGCGGTGTGAGTTGCGAGGGCGTGAGTACAGCTGACCAAGTTTGGGCGACTACGATACTAGTGGGCGACAATGTCGCGATGGAAGTGGATATTAGTGGTACACTCACGGAATTGCAGATGTCCTCGTCGACGATGCCAGCCGAAGTAAGCGGCACTTTCCAGGACACTTTTGAGGGCGTAAAGGAGGAAGAAACTCTCCATGTACAGGGCATCGAAGAGGATGAAGGACACATAGTACTAAGTACACCGGAGCAAGCTATACTTGTACAACCTCAACAAACGCTTGAACAACCTCAAACACCACAGTCTGCTAACCTCATGATAGCTATCGAGGAATCCCTTATTGCGCCATTGCATATGGAAGGTGTGACAGAAGGTCGTGTTGAATAAAAACTGAGAGTTAGCCATCGAGGTGAGCACTTTCTTATCTTAGGAGCAATATCTAATACTATATGTGGATTAGTTGGTACATCACATGCACTCATCTCCTATTGTGTCGATCCCTCAGATGTATTGTTTATTTACCTAGCTTTGGAACTGTGCTTTTTCTGAAGAGAAATACTGCAATTATTTTGTATGAAGACTTACTGCAATTGCCATATATTTTGTATTGGTATTCATGAGTCAGTTTCAACAATGGAAAGTCAGACTTGTAACTCATTATGTTTTATTTTGTCAATCATGCAGGGCGACGAAAAGAATTGTGGAAAATGACACATG